AAACATGTTTACTGGATGCTCTTACCTGTCTGAAAATGAGGGAAATACCTGAAGATTTTGCCCTGGAATGCAGAAAAAAAATCATCAGACACGTAAAATTTTTGTTAAAGTAAAATTAAAAGTGAAAAGAACGTACTTTGCAAGGTGTCTGTTGGCTCCATTTTCTCCACGTTTTCCTATTTTCAAACAATCTCTCAAAGGAATCTGGATAAAGTTGAGAGAGAATATTATAAAAAGTAGCAAAGATAAAGCACATGGACACACACCATTAGGAATGTTTCTGCTCACATTGAAAACACCTTTACCTTAATGATGGGCTGGGATATTGCATCTGGTTCAAAAATCACTGATTTTGAACATATTTTTAAGGAGCCTCTGGTTTTCCTAGGAGCCAAAAGAAAAAGGATTATTTGATGGACCAGGACATTCACAAAAGTTATTTATTTTAAGTAAAATGTGGATGGCTGGGTGTCAGCTAATAAGAGCCCGGCAGCTACAAGGGGAGGAGGACAGTGGAGAAGAGCCGTGTCCTTCAGCTCCTCTCAGGGGCTGGGGAACCTGCACCGACTGAGGCTCTGGCTTCGTTTGTTAACTGCAGCCCCACGACCTCATTAATTATTATCAGAGTTTTCACAATTGCTCTCCAGAGAAACTGAAGCACAGAAATACTGACACATGCTAAATATGTGATGTTTCCAGCAAATTTCATTGTCTCTTCACCCTCTGAATCTGGAAGAATTGCTCAGAAAACATCAATAAATTGGTACAATTAATTAAAGACTTTTTTGCTTTTTAAAGTCATGGAAAAATTAGGTTTGAATTTTACATACAAAATACCATAAACAATGATTTTGAAGTATTCATGGAAAAACTCTATTTCCTGAAAATAAGCAGTTTTAAAGACTATGTGATGTGATGTGATATGATATCATATAATCAGATAAGGGACTGACCACTTCTTTAGCTTCCTACAATAGTCATATGGCTTTACTAAATTTTGGAAAATAACATGCTCAAATATCTTAGAGGCTGTTCTTAATTTGGCCCAATATTCATCACCTTTACTTTCTCTTATCAATTAACTTTTATCAGTGATTAAACCAAGACAACAGCTTACTATGAAGTCAGACACATGTAGAGAAAAGTAATTTCCAAGAAGCATTTTTATATACAAGTATAATTTGTATAATCTCACATTCTTTTTCTCTCATTTTTCATGAACATGAATTGTGTGTTCACGCCTGCTGATGTGGGATGTCCTTCTGCATATGTGTTGCTTTATTGGTTGATGAATAAAGCTATTTTGGCCAATGGCTTAGCAGCATAAAGCCAGGTAGGAAATCCAAATATATATATATATATAGATAGATAGATAGATAGATAGATAGATAGATAGATAGATAGGCAGACAGACAGACAGACAGACAGACAGACAGACAGACAGATAGATAGATAGATAGATAGATAGAGACAGGAAAATGCTTGGAGGGTGCATCCTAAAACTACACCACTTTTTGAAAGGGACTTGAATCATTCAAGGACTTGGGTATCTCTGAGAATCTAAGGAGAAAAAAAATCTGTGAGTCTATGTCTCTATATAACTTAGAAATTCAAAGCGTCAAAAACAACAACAATGAAAAAAACTCACACTGAGATATACAGTCGAAAAGTTGAGAACGGCCTCCCAGTCCCAGAGGAAACACTCCTCTTTGTGGGAGGCAGTGATTACTGGAGCTTTCTCGTCATCATTACCATTCAATACATGCACCCATTGTACGGAAGGTCAGAATTCAGTTCACATCTCTCCTTTTTCAAAGGGTTTTGAAAATGTACATTTTTTCATGCTGCTAAGTGCATTTACTTTTAATATCCAAACTTACCAACAGTTAGATTTTTTAATAGAATGAAACTTCTAAGTATAAGCAACTAGAATAGGAAGTGCCCATATACCCATCACCTAACTTTAGCACTGGTCATTTTTGTTTCTACTGCTTCTTATACAAACCCCTCCTAAACCCGGCTGATCCATGTAAGAAGCTCTGAAGAAGCTCTCATTTAATAACAGTTCTATCATTATCACACTTAAAGAACTCCTTAGGTTCTCCAAGTATACTGTGTTCAAAAACTTTCCATTTCATAAATGTATTTTCACAGTTTACTCAAATCAAAATCCAAAGAGTCCACATAACACCTGATTCATATAATATACTCCTCATACTTGCTAATCTAAAATTATTTTCCCACATGATGACTTTTTCGTTGTTCCTTTTCCAATACTTGTCTAGAATTCATGTTCTCTTGGGCATTATGGACAAGAGCCTCCCACTGACAACAGCCCGACCTCCCAGCCCATAAGTGTCGCTTACTGCATCTGTGTGATAGACACCCCTCTCCCATGTCCTCCTTTACATCAACCTGTATTAGATCAGATTCTCTGGCATCCTCTGACAGTACCTCAGGGGAGGTGCAGGGAGCGCTCACACCAGCGGGAACCGCGGGGGAGACTGAAGGTGGTATTAATGTTGACGTGCCCATTACAGACCTTCTCAGTAACCTCTCACCTGAGGGCGTTAGCAGCCCCTGAAGATTACGACACACATATAATTATGGTGAACAGTCTCTATGAAGAGCCAGACAGACGTGTCTTTGCAGGTGATCAAACAAGGGACACAGATGGCGGTGGCTGCCCCCAAACGGGTGGTCATATACCAGTAAAGCAGGTGGCCACTCAGGTTGGGTGCAAAGGCTGTGTAGTTGCTGACCCCTTTATACAGAGCCATTGCTCCATCATGGGTTTAAATTCTATCACTCCATTATACATACAAACTAGAATTTTTCAACTAAGAATAACGTCACGTTAAGCAGTACTTTAGAGGCACTGAAGCACAACCGGTACAGGAAAACAAAAATTCAAAGACAAATTATGCTTTGACTCGCAGCTTTCAAAAAAAAAAAAAATCGACCCAAGCAACTGGATCTGTTTTCAAAGGAGTAGGTAGTTACGGAGGAAGTAGATTTTGCCCCGATTCACACTGCATTATTTATTACCTCATCTTCACTTCTCCATGGCTTCTGATCATTACTTTACTGCATCATCCTGCAGTGACTGGGAGCAGGGAGCACTGTGTGACAAGGGACACAGGGACAAAGCAATGACCAGAGGAGTCCTGCCTCAGAGGAGCCAGAACCCCACAAGGTATGCCACCATCTCGTGACATAACTAAACAGAGGGAAGAGGGATTTCAAAGGCATCAGACCTCAGAGCCCACTAGTGCCTAGCGCTGTGTGAGCTCACTCACCTTTCCTCGCGGCTGTCCTGGCTCTGGACGTGGAAAGCCGTGTGCTGTTCGAAGTAGTACTCCTCCAAATTGAGCAGCAGTAAGGAAAACCTGAACGGGGAAAAGAAGACAGCTTTGTGTTGCATCTGGTCTACAGAGGTATTTAACATGCCTGCTCCACATCCCTAGGAGTCCCTCTGGGAAGCCCACACTTCTCTCTCCCGTGCCCCAAATGGAATCCTTCCCAGCACAGATGCACTGTCCACACACACACAACAGTATCAAACTGTGGGAAATTAATTTTATGACAACCTTGCTCTCCTCCCCACGGGAATGTTCATGTCTGTGTTCCCTAGCCTGCCATAACCCTGAGGCCCACACTGACTTCAGTTCCTGTGACTCCCACAAGCCAATGAGCTCTAGGAGACAGATGCACAGATGGCTACAACCAACCTAATGTTTAAGACCATGCATGTTTAATAAGTAAAACAAATATATTGAGTTGCATAGTTCCTTCAGTTTGAAGTGCTTTGTACTTTAAAAGTACAACGGCAGAAATGTACAGTGGTGAGGCGACGTGGGTAAAGGGGATTGCCTCTCAAGCCTCATGGCCTGAGTATCCCTGGAACCCTGGAGGAAGGAAAGGACTGACTCCCGCACAGACCCCACACATGCATGGAAGGTGCGTGTGCATGATTAAAAAAATAATAATTTAGTTGCACTGCCATGGAAATAAGTAAGTATAAGGCAAAAACGTGCAAAGAAGCATGTGTCTGGCTGCAGGGTAGGGCAGGGGCACTGACAGCATCTGGAGTTAGGAAAAAGCTTTCAGATGCTCTGCTGTCCTTGAGGAAGATATCTATATTAAACGTGGACAACACAGAATATTGTTTATTTTACTTCCTCCTGGAACAAACCTAAGATGTGGATAAAATATTTTTAAATGACAAAACCCAAAGGCAACAGCAAACTAGAGAGAGATCAAAGCAAGGAAGAGATGTGAGCCAGTCTGTGGGGGGCAGCAGGCAGATGGGAATTAGCTGCCCACAGATCTCAGAGTGCGGATGCTCCCCGAGACGGTACCACTCATCCGAACACCAATACATGCACAGGGCTTTCCCTGGTGTCAGCCACCAAAGTCACTCTCAGACGAGTAGCCTCTAATGTGACAGAGAAAGACCCAAGGAATACACAGGAAAGCACAGGAACACAAACTGAAGGAGCGGGGACAGCGCAGGGTCAGAAGAAAAGGTAAAAGACTAATGACCTGTATAAAGACAGAACATGACAGAGCAACACCCAAACAAGCAAGAATACACTAGAAGGCTGAGCCAACACAAGGAACAGAAGGTCAAAACACTCAACACTCTCATTGAGAGACACGGGAGAGTGTCATTCAAAAAACAAGCTGGCCCAAAAGACTGACTCATGGGATCAAAATTGATTACAGGAACTAGTTTTACCATCTAAGTTTTATTGACCTTGAAAATAAATATTGACCTCCACTTGAAAAATTTCTGAACAAGAATTAAGTTAAGTTTAGTGTCCAGTATATTAAAAAAAAAAAATTAGTCATAAGCCGAAGTTCCAGCACAGTGCCCAGGCTCGGAGGAAGGGGCATTCCTTTGATGTGTCAGATGATGTCCAGGAAGGCACCAAACAGGAACTTACCCACTAGTTACCCGCCTAAATTTTGGCTGCAACCAAATGAGCTGGGGTGCAGTCCTTCCTCTGTCCCCTGCTGTCCTCTCTGCTCCCACAGGAGGGGGAAAACAGAGAAGACACATGCAGGATTTTACAGCTAGGAAACACAGACCACCTTCCAGAACAGCTGTTCTTCTACACGGTAAGTGAGGCAGATGCTGACCCTTTTTTAGCACTAATCTATCATAAATTAATAGTGGTTTCCTTCATCTCGCAATACTTGTATTTTAAGAGAAACGTAAACTACAGAGAAGGGCCCTAAGCAAACCACACTCCCTAACATTAGCAGTTTAAGCAGCTGTTTGTTCACTTGGTTTTTTGGGGGGTTATATTTTTTTTTTTTTTATTTTGTTTTGCTTTGTGTTTTGAGACAGGGTTTCTCTGTAGCTTTGGAGCCTGTCCTGGAACTCCCTCTGTAGACCAGGCTGGCCTCGAACTCACAGAGATCCGCCTGCCTCCTGAGTGCTGGATTAAAGGTGTGAGCCACCACCTCCTGGGCAGGAGCTGTTTGTTTTGTTTGCACTGAAGTGTTTGCTGGTATTTGATTTAAATATTTTCTTTTTTTTTTGATTTAAATATTTTCTATGTGAAAATTATTTCAATTAACTTTCAACAATAATTTCCAAACAATATTCTATGGGGTTAAAAAAAACCTAATGTTTTAAAAACTTTAAAGTCAGGGCTGGAAAGGTGGCTCAGAGGTTAAGAGCACAGACGGCTCTTCCAGAGGACCCAGGTTCAATTCTCAGCACCCACATGGCAGTTACTGTCTGTAACTCCAGTTCCAGGGTATCTGACATCTTCACACAGACATACATGCAGGCAAAACATCAATGCACATAAAAATAATTTTTAAAAACTTTAAAGTCACTCTTTTGTGGTTCCTTTTGTGCTCTCACACATTAATATCACAGCTAACATTAATTATTTCTTTAGGAGACTTGTGCCCATGGTTCCATCGTCTTAGTGTAACCCACCTTATAGTGTATGGGTCATTTCCTAGATACATCTCTTCATTAGTAAATCATTCATACTAAACATACACTATTCTAACCTTAAGTCACCTGAAATTCAAAGTATATGGATATGCTTAACCTCTGGCCCACTGTTCCACTCCAGAAGGAGAGAGGGATAATTTCTGATAAGAAACTTCTGAACAGGAATTAGTAATACATTAGGTGACGTCCACAGCCACTCCACAACTATTCCCACGAGTGGGTCCACAGTGTGTACCGGCCAGGCCTGGATCTAGGTTACACATGTAAATCTGTGGACACCTGGGTGGCACTGTGCACGCCACAGGAAAGCCCACTGTGCAGGGCATGTCACTCGCACGGCGAACACGCAGACCACCCTCAGAGCAAGTGCGATACCACTAGAAGACTAGCTGAACAAACTAGTCCTTGGAATCTGAAATAAGGAAGAGATTAAGAAAACGGGTACACAAATAAGCAAGATTATAGTCTGGTGACGCCACAGCTGCAAACACCCCCCCACCCCCCAAGCCCCACTTAAGCAGAGCCTGAAGAAGGTTGCAGGGGCGGAAAGAGCAAAATCTGCCCTTGTTCATCATGATAGCCACGCTCCTCAAAGGCAGGCTCATCAGAGACAGAATTAACAAACTCGTGTAAATCTTTGCACGACCGGGACACAGGGTAGACAGCGGTGTAGAAAAGTGAACGACAGAGGTGCTAGATTGGAGAGTCACCCGACAACAGTCTGCTGAGTCCTCTTGGCTTCCGAGCACAGCCAGAATCCCTCAGAGCGAAGGGATTCAAGAGAGGAAGAGAAATTGACCTCTAGTTTCTGGGGTTGGTTAAGGCAGAGGTTTTCTGGGTTCCTTGGGCAGTTGGGGGGAGTTCATGGCTCACTTCAGGGAAGAAGGCAGGCAGGAGCAGGAGGTCAGGGACCTCACTCCTGAGACCTTTCCAGCTCTTTAGTTCAAAGCACTTTGCAGGCCAGGACACTCTGGAGGATTCTTTCAGACTCTCAACAGTCACTTACATTAGAGGTCACCTAACTACATGAACATCAATCTCCCCATGTTAATTCTGTTTACACATAAACAAGTTAAAAACAACGAAACAAACACTTCATCCTCTGGCCAAGGGAAGGGGACTAAACTCTGCTTCATTTTCTACTTTCCAGTCAGAACTCTGCCCGCAGAGAATCAAGGAGCGGGGCAGGACGTCACTGTAATTCATGCTGGAGATGGTGGCAACTTCCGCCCTCTGTGGTCTCCGAACCTTCTGTCACGCTAGCACCAGCTAGTACACGCACGCTCTTTCAGAAGTCTGACTTCCCAGGTCACTAGACAGCTGCCACCTTGCTCACAAGCTTGCCCGGCACTTTTATGCCAGCAGACACCTGTGTCCCCTGCATCTTCACACATCTCGTGAAAATCTCTTTTAGACGAAGGCCGTGTCAGGAGGGGAATACACAAATAGTGTCACTTTCTCAAGTCCACGTGGCCCTGCCTAGTAGCTACATATGTTCTCATTTCAAACACAACTTCAGAAATTTTGTTTTGTTCTCTTAACCTACAGCGTTTTTAAAAGCTTCCGTTCAAGGGAGGCTCCAATTTTCTTGAAGGCAGTTATAGATTCTGGACTCAGATCTGGAGAACAATGTGGAAAAACACTGCTAAACAGCCATCTGTGTTTGCTTGCCTTGCCTTCCACACCTGTGCAGGAAAGGCGATTTGGACAAGTTCTAAATTATATTTTTGATGGTAGTATATACCTCTTGCGTGAAAATGTTTTCCAGAACAGTCCAGTAATAATGACTATATTTTTTACTTGAAAGCTTTGAAACTGCTTTCTTTAAAACCTAGTCTTTAGGTAAGGCTGTAGCCTCAATCCCTTCGGCTCTTTCTGAGTTTCTTTACTGGACTTGGTTCACGAATGTCTCTTTAATGTTTGGAATCAAGTAAACTCTCAAGCTCTCTGCATTAGGATAAACGAAAACTTTAAGAAAGGAAGTGGGGATCTGTAATTAGCTCACTACACTTCTCTGTTGGCATTTGTCACTGTTGCCACGTCCTGTTTTCTACACCAGGTATGCGTTTGTCACTTTTTCCCCTGTCCCCTGAGGGGGACCTGCAATGAATGAATACAAGTATGTTATCTCTGTTCCTCTTTCCGAAAGGTCCTCGCTGTGTGGGCCCCACCTACTCTGGTCCTGAATTCCACAAACAGATAGGAATTTTGCATCTTCTTAGTATTTACAACTCTCTAGCAGGTTAACATTTCTGCATAAACCTGCAGCTCCTCAGCACTGGATTCTGATCTCAAGCCCCACCTAAACACAATAATGCTTCCTTTGCTGTGATAAACACAACGACCAATACCAATTTACGGAGGAAAGTCCTTATTTCTGCTTACAGGTTACAGTTCAATATCCAGAGCAGTGGTTCAACCTGAGGTAGAACGACCCTTTCCCAGGGGTAGCCCAAGACCATCAGAAAACACAAATATTTATATTACAGTTCTAAACTGTAGCAAAATTGCAGTTATGAAGTAGCAATGAAATTAATTTCATGGTTGGAGGACACAGCATGAGGAACTGTATTAAAAGGCCACCGAGTTAGGAAGGTTGAGGACCCCTGCTGTACAGACACCAAGGTAGAAACTCGAGGCAGAAACCTGGAAGCAGGACCTGAAGAACCCTCTGGGAACTGCTTACTGGCTTGCCTCCCTGTTCATGTAAAACTACCCAGAACCACCTGCTCAGGACAGCGCCTCCCACAATGTGTAGGAACTCCTTCATCAATTAGCAATCAAGAAAATGAAAATGCCCCCACAGACAGCTCACAGGCCCCTCTGATGGAGGCAATCCCTCACCCGAGGTCCCCTCTTCCCAGGTGTCTAGTTAGTATCAAGTTAGCCAGCCACAGTCTACAAATTTGCATAGAAATATCTGAGCCGTTAAGGAGTCTGTCTAGTTCCTGTACCCATTGGCTGATGTACATTACTGGTCCCTAACCTCTGCAGAAGGTGTGGTTCCCTAGTAAAACCAATTTCACTATTTCAGCCGACTTTTGTAGCCTGTCCCTGCCACAGCATGTCTAAGGCTCCAACACTTAGCCCAGCTCTAAGAAACGATACTCTCTTCTCAGTGGGTGAGATCATTACTTCCTGACTCAGCTCAGCCACCAAAACCCTTTCTGTTGACACTACCCATAAAGCCTGGGGCTTCTAATTCCAAGTCTCCACGGTCTACAGTGATGAAGGTAGAAACATGATCAATGCTCTTAAAAGCCCTTCTGCTCCCTCACTCATCAAGAGTCACAGCCCAATGGGCAGGTGAGCAGCTCAGTGGTGAGGTGCTGACCCAGCACATTCAGGCCCTTGATGAAATCTGCAGTCAGCACACACAAAGCCACGGCCCAGGGAGCCATGGGGACCAGAGAGAGGCATAGGAGTCACTGGAAAGCAGCAAAAGCCAGAAGAAAGCAGGGAGGCATCGCTGACATTATCTTGAGTTCTCTGCCTTGCGTGTGCACAATCATCTAGGAGGCTGCGAACACGAGCTTCTGATGTGGACCCGGGACGAGCTCCAGGCATCTCATGCTGCTGGCCTGCGGGTGCAGTCAGACTAAGATTTCAGGATCATAGAAACTAAGCTTCTGTTGCACCAGAATCATCTTAAACTTCAAGAACTTAACAGTGAGCGCTGCCCAGCCGTTTACATGCCTTGTACTGAAAACAAGATCAGTAAGTCACCGTGGACAAAGGCTGAACTTGGCCCAAGAACTCAGCGCCAGGGCTAGTTTGAACACAGTCATGGTGTGTTAGTTTTGACTTGTGACTTGCGATTTCACAGATGTCAGCCTATCCTGGGCAGCAGCAGCTAAAGTCCCGGACACAGAGAGAGCTAACTACCCATGCTAACAGGCTCTTCCCTTTGTCCTCTGTAATGGCATAGCAGCCATTACATTCTGATGTTTCTTGTCCTCTGTTAATCTTCTCTGGAAATGTCTTCAGACACACTTAGAGGTGTGTCCACAGGTGCTTCCCAATGCAACCAAAGTGACAAAATTAGCCATCACATGTGAGCAAGCTATGTGCCTTGTCAAATCATCTATTTAGTTACTCAAGCTCAGCTACAAGATGTAGTGGAAATATTGAATAGACAACCTTG